CTCGCCAGGACAGATTCCGTTATTTTGCACCGCTCCCGTGAGTGTTTTATTCAAGCAGCTGAACAAACAGAGAAACCGTAAGCGAATTGACTGTGCGGACACAGTAGTCACTGGTAGAATGAGATAGGATATTGATTCGGTTTTCGGTAAATGTTCGAAAAAAAACAACAATAACACAGCACAACACACTGCATACGGTTGGGTGGAAGATCGGGAGGGCGGTTAGCCCTGGTCAAGTAGTTAGATGAGAAGTTAGTTCAAATGAGCGGTGGCAGTTACTGATGTTATACTTCTGAGATGCATTCAGAAGCCTCACAATCTTTATCGTTCTATCGGGATTAGCTTTGGGCTGGTGTGCGAATTAATGTAACAGGTTTACAATAATATTTTAGGATTCTGATTTTAGCAAAAAGAGCTCGTTTGGGCAATATACATATTTTGTCTTAAACTTCATATTCCCAAGAAAGATGAATTCACTCCAGTCATCATAGAACTGACGACGTATTACATCTTATGACGTATACACATAACTAATAGTGAGCTATTCCGAAAGTTTTCATTTCATTTTTGTGATATAATGTATAACTACTATTTGAAAACTCATATCGATGATGATTATGACCCGGATAAATATCATGATCACATGGATTTTGGCATATTAACCTCACATGAATTTCATCTAAATGAGTGGTGATTTCTAACTCATTGAAACATGAATGAAGATCATTCACTCAATCCAACTGTGCTAGCTCACTGCTTCGCAGGTCTCATCAATCATCGTCTTCAAAGAGAATCTCTTTCTTGGTCCTTGAAGCGAATTCCAGCATTGCTACGTGGTTCTTTTGATTGACCCACTTCGATTGGTAATTCCATTTGTTTATCTCACCTATACCACTTTCAAATCACGTATCTCAGCAAGTACCCTGACTTCGCAATATATGTATTTGGTTCTCACAGTTTGAACATTCCAGCTAACGGAAAAGAAATGTAGGTATCATAAACCAATCACTGAATTGAATCTTTTGAATAATAAATTGTCATATTTACCCTACTGGTAATTGAAATCCGCCTATATCCATCGGTACAGATAAGAGCCAGATTTTTGTCTCTTCATGAGCGATGGTGCGTATGAAGTTTCAAAATGTTTCGATGTCGTCCATCATTACAGGGCACCGTTTTGCAACTGACAAGAGAAATGTCAATCAGAGTGACGGACCGGTGACTGACTGACGACATTCACATGAACCCAATCAATTCAAATGATCATCGAGCACAGTCTTTATTATTCTTGTTGGCTAGTCACGTGATCCACACGACCGGGGGACACGACTTACATGCAGTCACTTCAGACATACAAACAAGCCAATCAAATAAATTAATTTGGCTGTCAAATGATCCAAATTAACATGACGCCACGGCGGGCATTTGCGTTCCACACTGTTTTTTCTATCATACCCTTACACCACAGACGTCCGGACGACATTCTCAGCCGTTTGAAGATGGGGATGGGGTTGGGAGTGGAAATGAGAAGAACTAAAAACCTCCGTGTCTATCAAAGTGGATTCAATGCAAAAGGAGACGTGCATTCGCTAGGGAGACGGGTATTTGGTCCATCTCGTTAATCAATTTCGCATAATTGAAGTGCACATGAAAACAAGCGGACCGAATAATTAAAAATCTGATCCACAGAGAACAGCACCCAGTCGTTTTATCGGTTTCGTTTCCAAGGGAAGCCATACTGACAGAACCAAGCGGTATCCAGCCTCCTAATTCAAGTAGATCGCCATATTCAGTCAGATTGACATTCCACTGAAAGTGGAATAACGGAGCTTTTTCAGAGAGCAGAATTGGAGAAATTCAATTTTAACTACATGGTCGGTTTTTGCACCGGTAGCCAATAATTGTGTACAGTTCAGACCCACTTTATACAATTATTTAATGCCATGGTTTTGATTGCTGTCTTTTGGATACTCAGCTGGATGAAGAGTTGAGTGTCATGCACAGTGGCGCTCGTTCATCTCGTCTCTATTCTTGCAACCCTAGTGCACCTGGATCCACTATCGTCACATTGATTACTACTTCCAGCATTAAACTACGTACTAAAATTTGTGTAAAAATGTATCGTGGAAGTACTGCTGATTAGTTGATTAATGAGCACTCGTTCAGTCTTGCTAACCAGTTTGAGCCAAAAGTGCCTCATTGATATAAGGAGCCAGTCAATTGTTCAGGACTATTCAATTTTTTAGTTACCACCATATGATCCCACCTTGATTCGCTCAGAATACGAGAAATGTTTATCAGCTCTTTTATTAAATATTTTTCTATAAATGTTATTTTGACACTCACATTTACTCATGAGCAGGGGTATGCGATCCGTGTTATTTGTTATGGTTGAACATTTTTCAAATTCCATTTTCAAGCTCAATCCACCATGATTCAATCAACCATACACTCGAAAAGTATTTGTCTCGAGGTTTACACTCAGCAGAGCCCACCAATGATGCATATTCGCACCCAAAACTGCCACTCGTAAGTATTTCTGGTAGGATTCAATCTAGCTGGTTTATTTGGTGCTGAGTACTGGAACCTGTAAGGAAATCCTGGTCGGAGCAGAGGCTTCGATTAGAGTTAACAGGTCACACACTGTCTCCCTTCAGAGCTTTCTGGTCAACCACTGTCTGAGGTTCGCATATGGACAAACTTGGGCGGACGGGCCCGATTGGCTCATGCGTAAACTTGTTGGTGCAGGAGTAACATACACGCTTTCCATGCATTTGGGTCCGAAGTCCGGTTCCCGGACGGAGCTCTAATGTGTATGAAGACTGATTTTAGTGCCCCCCCCCCTCTAGTGTATGGTTGACTGGCGGGNTTGTTGAATGCGTGTAAAGGCAAAGATTGGCGGTTATTAAGTCACCATAAGTATTCTTCCAGTCCCTGGACCTGATTTCTTCTCTTGCCAACTCAGTGCGTGCATACATACATACATGTGTGTGTGTGCGTATACAGAAATCGAGTTGAATAGAATTTTCTTTCAACGACATACCTTACGATCGTAGTTGTCCCATTCGGATGGGCAGGAATCTTGACACTCACATTTACCTTGATTGCACCATTCACCTAACCGGCATTTCACATTGGCGCAGGCATCTGGATAAACGGTAAATGAAATAAGAACCCGGAATAGGTTAACAGGAAAGAAAATAAATCAATCAGCTCTTTTTTCTGTACGTGATCATCGACTCCAGCGATAAGCCTATAGAATTACTTTCATATAAAGTTTTGTAGGAAATCGATACTTTACCAGAGAACTTACCCAAGTTCAGTCCGGGCATAAAAGCACTGTTTAATTGAAATATGCTTGGCAGAAAAAGACACACGTCATTTTCGATTGATGCTATTGCATCCAGTTTTTTTCGTAGTCTGGTTGTCACCCGAAACTTTCTTTAAATGACATCGAACGACTCCAAAATATGAGCTGATCTCACAATTGATAACGGTCGCTCGGTAGCACAGACACTTAATTTGACGGATTTAACCATCTTACAGTATAAGTCTGTAAATCGAAGAACTATGCATGTGTACCAACAGTCATTTTGAGAACCCGTCAGTTTTGGGGCTTGAATTCCGGTCCTCACACTGGTGAGAACGGTTTTAAGCCGTCAAAATATTCCCTTTTATTCTCACTCCGGAATAAACGTGTACGGAAATCGTGATCTGACAAAGTGACTACTGACAGCTTACCACGTGTACTGTTTTAGCACTTGAAAAACTATCCCCACATAGTTCGTTACAAATAACGTGCCCGGTTTACCAGAGTTAAAACGTTTAGAGATCAACTACGAATATCATATATATATATATATATATATATATATATATATATATCAGGTATGCACATCTTCTTTTGTATACCATGGTAATTAGATCTTTGTCGGTCATCAACAAGGATGGTCTTCTCAATACAATAACTCGGTTCGCTTGGAAAGTAACTGAAAACCAATTTACTCCACTCCAGTGAGATACCAGCAATGCGAGCAATGCAATACTAAAGATACCTATCGTTTAGGTGACTTCCTGTACCTTGCCTAACCGATTTATAATTCAGCACTGGTGCAGCATTTTTGCTTAATCAAAGCAAATTGTCAAATTTCAGCGCAATCCAAATAACAGTAGACACTTTGGGGAAATATGACAGAAGAATCCGGGTGGTTGCTAGTTAATCATTCAGCTGGTCTTGAAGTCGAATAATCCGGTAAGGATAAGAAAGAAGAGAATACCTTGTATGATGCTACTGCCTTCGGATGAATTTCTTCAACACTCAGAAATGTGAATTAGAAATTGGCATTAAAAGGCGGTCAGGAAAAAAGAAAACCCCATCAAATAACGGAACAGTTCACAATTTGGTAGATATGTAACGTGACAAAACACCCCGGTCTGATTCTTCAAACTCTAAAAGTAATTTGACAGAAAAGCACATCTGACACAGTGCCGTGTTCCGCGTTCCCGGTAGGAGTTGTAAATTCACTTCCAGTTGGTAGCACCGCCGTATCCTCACCATGCACAGCGGACGTAAACAAGTGTATCTAACGGTAAAAGTTATTTAGTCACATTCGCCGAACTTGAGAAGCAATTCATTTGGACACGAAATACAACTAAAACAGTAGAGAGCTTAATTTTTAATACTTGAACCTGTTGGCAAAATGCAAAACTTCCAGTGACCACATAAAAGCGACTGTGGATACATATGGAGAATTTGGCATGGTTGGATGGGTTGAGTTGTTCTATATTTTTATGGAAACTATTCGAGGTGTAAGAAAGCTTTGTAAAAATCTACCTATAAAGTGCAACTTAACAATAGCGTGATTATGCCAAATACTGAGGGATGTTGTCACCGATTATCCGTTCAATCTCTGGGGCCTATCTAATCAGAGATAAATCATGTTTGAAAAATATATGAATATTTTCCTGAAAATTTGGTGAAATCAGCTTGTAACGTATAAAGCATACTATTTTCTGTCTGACAGTCAGTGCATACATACATACATCTATGCATCTGCGCATCGTGTCTGCACGAGAAATGTACCATCACGTTTTTCGCATCTTTTAAGGCTGATCATTGTTATTAGAAAAGAATCACGATAAGTAATTTTGGCAAATCACACTTTTTCCGTGGGCCATTTTCCCTCTAGGTAAAGTTGAGTTTTTTTGCTTAATTCCTAGTAAAACTTTCCAGTGCTCTCATGAGAGGACTCAGAAAGCCTCACACAGAAAAAAAAAGACTTCGAATATTTTCTCTCTCACATTACCGATAGTTTTGAATCAGGCAACTGGATTGAGAAGTACAGACAAACAAACAAACGATGGAGGTAGTCGGACGAACAGTAGCGCGGGAATGAACGGTGAAAGATAACATCTTTGAGATAGTGTACCGAGGCATGCATACCACAGCATGTCCCACAATGATGGACCCTTCCTTACGATGTCGAAACTGGATTTGTTAATATGAGATTGTAACACGGTGTCGACACTGGTGTAGTTAGTATGCTTTTATTGACTTGACCTCAGTCATCACAAATAATTTTTCCAATATTCCCTTAAAACTGGTCTTTCAAAGTTCACTACCGAAATTCGCGATAGCGAGAAATTAAATGGAATAAACAAATACAAAGTGTAAGATCATTGATTCACAACATATAATCCAATGAGAGTTCAGGTTCAGCACTTTTGATTGAGCCACGGTCATTCACATTGGATCTGATTGCTCGTTTCATATTGCTCGTTAGGAAAGTGTTTCTGCCGGTTCCTTGTCCAGCACTCTCTCACGGTGTTATCACAGTAGCCCACCTGAGTGAATCATTTGCAAGATCACTTTGCTGTTTTTTACGGGTGAGTAAATACACGAATTCGAACCCCTCAGATGAGTTTAGTGGCAGTAGTTCCAACACAATGCTCTCGGTCCTTACCACACTAACCACAGAGCAATTTGAATAGGAGAACTACCCGCACCAGACAACCTTTGAATGCGAATATCTTGGGTCGCTTGTTCCAGATCCTTGAATCGAAACACACGCGGACTCAGTCAGGATCACGGATTAGTACGGAAAACATTCACCAAGAGACTATGGTCCCATTTTCCCCCACTGGATTTGGCTTATGGGCCAAATCTTAGACCAGTCCACCCTCAAAGGTTTTACAATATAGTGAGGGTGATTAGTCATTCGACTTGGATGCGGCTGAACGAACGGGGTGTGATCAACTTGTACATCGAGCCCATGTGCCATGTGTCCCTCCTGACCGTACCCTAGCTCTCTCATGCAGACACAGCTACACACACAGCTGTGCACCAGTTCTTCCCACAGGCATTCGATTCGGGTGGTCTAAATCGATTTGACCATTTGTTAATGCATGCCCTGGTTTGAGCACCGATACGTATGTGTCCGTGTGTGTGTGTGTGTGTGTGTGTGTGCGTATGGATTTCGAGACAGGCACCGAAACATGATCGATAGGATAAGGACATACACGACAAGTAATTGTAGTAGACGGTACGCATGTTTTTCCATCAAGTGCGCAATTCCTGCGTTCCCACCGTGCACACAGACGTATAGAAATCTGACCCCGAACGCGAGGGGCGGGGGGGGGACGTGAATAACAGTAGACGAATCGTATCTTTTCTACCTATCACCATGGTTGCATTACTTTCAAATAAATAATTGTAATAATAGGATATTTTGACTGTGTTGGTCTCAATGTGTGCCGTGTGATGGGACAAATTTGGCCGGTTTGGCCCTGATTAAGTGAATGAACAGAGTCGAGAATGGAAGTGTGAACCCATTGTCAAAGTGAAATAGCTTTTTTGTAATTCAGGGTGCATGTTCAACCACCGAATGCTCAATCGACATTAAAATCAATTAAATCAATCATAGATGCAAAGTTTACACAGTGCTGTGGATACGTCATAAGTAATATGGTTAAGGTCATAAAAGGAAATAAACCGGTAATTGAGGCGCGACATGTTTTTGTACTAGCATGAAGGCGTTTAAAATTAGAACGAGTGGATGAAGTGGAAATGCGTTTGGACGAGTGTGGAGCATATGAGTGTTTGAGGAGTATATCTGATGAACAAGTTTTTCAAAAGCTTTGATCTGTGCTACGAGACAATGTAGTAAATGATGCTAGCACTGGATAAATCACCACGCACCGTCAAATGTCTGGATTAGACGCAGAGATTCTTCTTCAATAACCCAAAGTGGACCATTGGGGAATGCAGTGAGTGAATGTGAAAAATTGTTCGATTAAATGTGTCGAGAGAGGGATCACTGTTCTTGATGTACGGCATAAAGTAAAGGTCTTTTCTGACATTAGAGAAAACATTATTGACGTGTTCAAAACAAATGCGGGGACGGATACAAGTAAAAACCCTTCTATTTAACTGATTCCTTCTGACTTTTACATGTATCTCTGCTTCTTAAATAGGGGTTGATGTGCTTCAATGAAAGGGGAACAAATTTTGTCCCCAAAGAGAAAAACAACACATATAGAGGAATTCAAGGTGAGTTTGTGTCAGGTGGACTGCGCGATGATTTGTAAGATAGCATTTTGAACATCAAAGCGAGCCGAATTCTCGGAGTTCGGTTGCACGAAACACAACATTATCGACATGCTTAATCAGTCAACAGCTATTGGAAAAAAGTATAAAATCTCAATATATGGGAAAGAAATGGACAAGATAACAGTCTGACTAACCCATAATTTCGAACTCAAGAAAAGCGAGGATTGGTTATGATGGTGTGAAAATGTTTAGAGGGAAAAAGTTGCAGGGAGAGGGAGAGGAAGGGTTTACAAGAACAAAAGAAAACCTTGTCTCCGTAATTACTGCCCAATCAATCAGTTAAAGTAGCCAACCCTTACAACCTTCGATTTTTATCAACACTTGATAGGACATTATTTGTGACGAAAGTTAGAGCTTCAACAGTTGACTCGTTTCGGTTTATATACTTTTATGATCCAATACACTATATATATATATAGAGAGAGAGAGAGAGAGAGAGAAACAAGCAGTCAAGATACCTCAATTGTGAGTTCATCATAAGAAGTCTGCCGTTTTCATTTACACCTTGTACACATACGTTTCTCTCAAACAACTGACACTGGACCAGTGGAGGTCGGGTGTGCCACAAACTAAGGGATTATTCTCAATCTCAAAAAGCGCGATTTCGAATTCGGTAATAGTCTCCGCATGACACAAATGTAATAGGACTTTTAATCGCCCCAAAACATTCTGTTCGATGTGTGTGATTCAAGACTACGCAAACAACACAACGTAAACTCCATC